TGTGTTTGCTATCGTAGAGAGCTGGTGCACTTGTTTTCATCCTGACATCTAGAGTCAAAGCCACCACTTGAGTTCTTGCAGCCTGAGGCTGCTATTGTATCTATAAGAAGAGTGGCAGGGTTATGTAGGAGTGGCCAATGTTTCCTTCTGCAAAGCGCATCCCACCACTTCCAGGAGTCATACTTAATAAGATGCTTCTAGGACATGTTAATTCTTAACTCCCAGTTTACTAAGGAGCAAAGCCATGCACAGGAGGCCTAGGTGTTTCTTCTTCCTCTTGCTCATACCTAGCGCTGGGAGTTGTGATATCTCTTTTTCACTTTCTCCCCGTTCTGTGTTTTCTCCCTGCTTGGCCTAAGTCAGTGTCTTATTTCTAATTCAAAGTAAGTGATGGGCCAGGCAGACCCGAGTCTATTTACTAATGTCATTTTGGACAAATGTAATTTCTACTCAACATTCTCAGATTCTTCATCTCTGATACATGGTGACAACAATGGAATCCAAACACCCAGGGTTTATGGTGAGGATGAAATGATACGTGTGAAAGTACTCAGTAGACCCTGTCTAACTAGATAGTGATCTACTGACATTCATTTCCTTACTATCTCACTGTCTGGGCACTAGTTTTCTCCTCAATAAATTTAGTTCCTTCTCGTTTTAGAATTCTTTAATTCTAGGAAAGAAACTCAACACTAAGGTAGACTTTTTCAGTGCTGAAAGTTCAGGATTAGTAAGGTGGGCTTTCTCCCAGGTTTGAAATCATCTTAGGTCATGTGATTATGCATTTCATTGCTTAGATATTCAAAAAAGGCAATTTAATTTCCCATCTAGACATATCAACCACCTACGTGATAGGATTGTGTTTTTCTGCAAAGAAATGTAAATGGGCAAAACTTGGGAGGGGGGAAGGTATCATAGAGAGTAGCTGAGTACACAAAGACTAAGGCAGAGAGGCCTTTGGAGGACTGATGGGACATGGACCAGGTGGGAATCAGGGCCCCAAAAGGGACCAAAAGAAAAAGGTACAATGTGAGGCACAATGAGTGGCATGAATCTAAGATTTTCTTTCTGTCACAAATCCAGAGAAGGCTCAGTGTTAAACAAGAGGTTTTTGCACTGTGTTTAGACATTCAGATCAGAAGCTAGAAGGCTGAATTACTGCTATCTCTGGTTCCATCCCTTATTGGCTACATCTTGGGCAATTTTTTGAGGCTTTCTGGATGTGTTTCTTTAACTGTAAAGTGGTAATAAGGCCCAACCAATAAGGTTGTTTGGAGGATCAACTGAGAAATGTGTTAGCACTTTGGCACTTAATAAGTATTCAAGATCACCATCATAATCATCATCTTCATCATCAACAACAGCAATGCTGCCATTGATTTGATTATAATAGTTGTTTACTCAGCGCCATAAGGCTAGAAGATTCCCATAGGTTGTGTAGGGGCTGTTTCAATGCCAATAACTGAAAGGAGTATAATTGTGTATCATCTTTGATGATAATACAATTCCATGGTGCTCCTCTAGAACCACCTCAAAGAAGAACCAAACTGAAAAGTTCAGGCACTTAGTAAAGAAGATAGCAAAGATGACAATGGTCATCTGCCATCTTCTTTCCCAGCCACTAAGTCAATGTCAAAACTTGCATTTTTATTGATTAATGT